GCGCAACACGGACGACAGCGCGAGGGCCTGAGGACGCTCGGGGGCACGGCTCAACTCCGGGGGGCACTGTCCCCTCTTCTGTATCTGCACGTTTCTTAAATCTACGTCATGAAGGACAAAGACCTAAGAAATTTCCTTTAAAAACATAAGCTGAAGGAAAACACCGATCTGTGACGTAACTAGACAGGGGACCCCACAGCACCACTGACAACTGAGTTACAAGAAGACGCTTAGAACGAAGGTGCCCACCTGCCCTTCAGAACCTGTGCCGCCCCCGCCCACAGCCCCCTTGCTTGGCCCACCTTGGTGACCGCCACCCGCTGACGGTCGGGGCGTGGATCATCAGTTCCCGGGCACTGAAGCCATCCTCGTGTCCAGACGAGCTGACGACGACGAATCCGATTTTGTGGGGCATTCTGTTCACTGGGCCTGTTTCTAAGAGCAGGAAACGAGTCTTTAAAATAAAGGAGTCAGAGCATGTTACAACAATATCATCACATTGAAAGTGTTAGTTCACGTCCTACTAACACGCGACGTGATCTGCAGTGCATTCGGAGTTTTCCCTTTGAAAAAGTCCAGTTTTTTGGGAAGCGCTTTTTACAGAAGGCTCTAATTCCACTTACGGTATCGTTTAAGTTATCTTGACTTTTCCCAAATATAGGTCCGCGAAGTTTGACAGTGTTGTGGGTTGAACCGTGTGCCCCAAAAGATGCTGAAGTCTTCCTGTGAACGTGATCTAATTTAGAAACAGGGTCTCTGTAAACACAAAGTTAAGGTGAGGTCGCGGTGGAATCGGGTGGGCCCTACACCAATGACTGGTGTCCTTACAAGAAAAGAGACACGGATACACACGCGGACAGGGAGAGGCCATGGGACAGCATGGCGTGAGATGCCCACAAACCAGGGATGCCAAGGATTGCTGGAAAGCACCAGAAGCTGGCAGAGGCAGGCAGACCCTTCCCTAGAGCCTCTGAGGGAGCACGGCCCTGCCCGCACCTGGATTTCGGAATTCTAGCCTCTAGAATAAGTTTTTGTTGTCTTAAGTCACTTAGTTTTGGGGTACTTTGTACAAAGATGCAAATACAAAGTTGGTTTTTTTTTTCTTAGTTAAGAAACTAATACAACCAGTAAGTTAATAAATTATATAAAACTAAAGGAGAAAAAGAGGCTTTTTAACCTCCAGCAGAGTGATCCCTGCTAAATGAAACTGCACACCCGGAGACAGGACAGCAGAGCTGCAGACGGAGTGCCGAGCGCAGAGACGAGGACCTGGAGCCTGGCTGAGCGACCGCCTCCCAGGAGGTGTTTACGTGTGGGATGAGTGACGTTTTTTATGCCATGATTTTTCGGTGAACTGGACTGTGTTCGCAGCTACATAGCACTGTTTTGAGGCGGACGTGCGGCGTACGCTTTTGCCTGCTGGCACCCATCCCCCCCTGTCTGAAGACGGCACCTCGATCCCGATTTTCCTTGATGCTCCGCCCTCCCCACTCCCGATCTGTGGGCTGCCCACCCCACGCTGCAGTCCTCTGCTCCCTGCCAGTGGCGGCTACGTGTCCCGGGCCTGGTGCTTCTGTGAGTTCCACATCCCTCCTCGGTAGCTCGTTCAGGGATGGGGACATGAGAACAGGACCCTAACTGGACCAATGCCACTCAACCCCAGGACTTTGCTGGGGCTGCCGGGAAAGACAAGCTTCCTTCCCGCTGGAACCTGGGCTGCAGGACAATTTCTGCAGGGGCTGCCCGAGGCCTCCACTGGAGGTCCAGCCGGAGAGTGGGCGACGTGGGGAAGTCGTGCCGAGAGGGGCACAGGTGCCTCGTGAGCTTCAGGTTCAGCCGCATGTAAAGCTCAGGCTACATATGGACTTCTGGTTGGTCACCTTCCAGCTGGGAAGTCACCCAGGCTCCTCTCCAGTGAACCAGCCTGGGCGAGGCGTAAGTGTCTGCAGCCAAGACAGTCCTCCGTAAAAGAGAGGACCAAGAACTCTCCAGAAAGTTCTCTGCGGTTGGACATACTATGACTTGAAATTCTCAGTACTAGGTACCATGTAAACATATCCCCATTGAATTTCGCTCACTTTAACATTCTCGATGCGTGATCTAGATCTTTCTTTTGCTTTTATGGAGAACCTGAACACCACGTCTACAGGTTAATTACTGCCTGGCAGCTGTTAATGTTTCTTGGAGCGTATGAACCAAGCTTTAAAAGTAGAAAGATAAGCCATTATTAAAGGTCCTAACTATTTTTTTACACAAAGCTCACTGCAGGATGTCACGACACAGTAGAGGAAAGCTAAGCTAACCCAGAAACTAATGAAAAGCTGGCGCCAGCAACGCGCGCGTGCGCTGTAACCCTCAGCACGCTGCACAGCCCCACCGCGTTCCCAGCGCCCTGCACAGGAACGGAATTGGGCCTCGCACAGCCTGCGGCTCCTTCCTCACGCTCAGGCTCTCAGCTGACTTCCTGTTCCCTTGACCTTGGCACATCTTCCTCTCCATCCATTTCTGCATCTCCCCTTCCTCACCCATTGAGGGCCAAGTCTCTTGGTCCCGCCTTTGGATCCGTGTTTGAAAACGGCCCCTCTTCTCTATCCCATCGTCCTCTCTAGACAACTGCCCACTCGCCCTACGCTCCTGCCCAATGAACCACTCTCAAGGTCAGCCTGGGCCACCGCCATCCACGTCCTAACTCAAGAACCCTTGATGGGCTTTCTGTCCAGGGCTGAAGGGCGACTCTGTGTCCTGCCCCAACTTGCTGTTCCAGCCTGTTGTAAATGTTACAGCCTAAACGTCCTAAAGCTCAAACTAACACCCCTCTGCCTTGGACTCCCCAGTTCTGCGATCATCTTTAAGAGCAGGGCCTGCTACTTCCTACCCTACCTTGAAAATAATAGGTACCTATTAAATATTCTCAGCTGAACGCGATCATTGATCTTGAACTTCTAAAGATTTGAAATACCAAGCACACTGTCCAACACGTGCCCTGAACCTTGCGACTGCAGGCGGACACAGGCTTGAGAGCGCTTCCCCAGTGCCGGGGACTGTCCTCAGCACACAGTCACACCTTCGCAACAAGTCGGACACAGGCTTTGCGGTCCCCCAACTTTAGAAACAAAGAAACTGAGGGACAGACAGAGAGGCCCATGCCAGGGGCATCTAGCTAGCCAGCCATGCAGACAGGGTGTGTTCTCAGCTGGTCAGGCGGTCAGGTGCCAGAGTTTGTGATCTTGACCAATATCCTCTGCTGTAGCACTAAGACTTAGAAATGGGCCCTTTTAATCCACATAGAGGATGTAGCCTCATTATGCCATGTTGCCTCGATTAACCTGAAGCAAAGCACTGGCATCTTGGGAGCATGGGAGAAGTGCCGGGGCGCTTAAGAGGCAATGCTGCCACCACAGTTTGGGGGTCTGAAAAGGATTCCATTCTGGCCGCCCTCTTCCAAAAGCCTTTCTACCTTGTACCCTAAAATCTCTTTCATGTGAACCTTCTAGTGTCACATGAGATATTGGGGTGGCACTAAAGGCTGCCACTGTCAGGCTCTATAAAACCCCCCATTAACCTTCGGGGAGAACCAAAGCTCTGCGGAGTGTTCCATTATCAGCCTGCCGGACCCCCACTGCCCTCTGGCACAGCCGCCCTCAGCACCAGCGTGTGTCAGAGCCGCCCAGGCTCCCCCTGCTCCCTAAGCACACAGCCCAGTCCTGCACAGAAAAAGTTAACTCTGGGTTCCTCCCAGGAAGTCTGCTCTGCAATATGTATCAACATCTATGTTAAGTTGAAACAATTTAGCAACTTATGAACATCCGCTACTAGAACAGCAGACAAAACTTGTTTCCACGTTTCTTCTAAGAAAAGATAAATGTTACACGATTAAATGGTTTTCGGCCAATTAATCTGGAGAATTGGAAGTACCTCTCAGAATAACTGGAATCGAAAAGATACAAAATAACCAAAGAAGTGGATGCGAATAGAACCTGTGCGGAGCAGAGGCGCATTCTTCACTCATTTTAGCCAGTCATGGAGCTCTGGGTCACCATCGGCTGTGCGTCCAGAACAGAGAAGTGCGGACACGAGAATAGTATCTGACGCTAAACCCAAGGAGCGGAGGGGAGGCGACGGCAGGGGCCGGTGGGGGC